ACGGCCTGCAGGGAGGAAGGGGGCAGCGCCCCGGGCCAGCCGGCAGAGCTGGGGCTGCCCCCGCTCCCTCCCCGGGGTGCAGAGCATCCAGGCCAGCTGCTGGAGGACATGACATTTATTGGCTAGCTATAACTTATGGGTGTGGGAAGTGGGGGACAAGGGTGGCAGGAGTCACGTCTCGGCCTTCCACTCCTTCTCCTTCTCGCTCTGGGCCTGGATGCGGAGCTCCTCGTCCAGCCTCTCCTTGGCCCTCACCACCTGCGGGACAAGGGCGCAGGGTGACGCAGAGCCGGGGCTGCACCCACACCCCCCTGCACAGCAGCTGCGCCGCACCGCACCCGTGCCCGCCCCTGCCCCACAGCACCCAAGTCCTTCTCCTCCCCTTCCCAGGGCTCTGAAACTGCCTCACCTCTGTGGCCACCACGCCTTTTGGGCAGCAGAAGGCCACAGGAGGATTCAGCCAGGACAGGAGACACTGCTACCTCAGCCTCACATCTGCACAGACCCCCAAAACATCATTACTGGTAAGTTCCTCCCAAATCAAAGGCAGCAAGGACCTCTGTCTGCTGAGGACAGAGCTGGGAGGTTGCAAGACAGGCAGCTAGCCCACACCCCTAAATCTCTCCTCTCTTTGCTCACCTTTGACTGCAAATAGAAGGAGCCTCCCACCGACTTGTCATTCACCTTGAATAAGTGGTCGTAGTTCTGCCAAAGCAAAGCTCCTCGTTAGACGCGGCTCCGCCACCCTCTGCAGCCCCCTAACCCAGCAGCCTCCGGCTCCCGAGGGTGGAGGCTGGGCTGCACCGGAGTGACCAGTGGGAGCCCTGTCCCCGGCAGCGCTTCAGCGTGAAGCCCCCGGGCCAGCGCCCCGGGCTGCAGGGCGGAGGAAGAGCCTGATAACCAGCGTAGTGCCTGGGCACTGCTGGCAGACTCGAGGGAAACCTTGCCTGGCATTAGCTATGCCCAGTGACAGCACCCACGATCCAGGGAGCAAAATACATGGGAGTGAGCCCAGATCGCCCCCCTCCCGGGACCCTGGCAGCCGGCAGGCTGCAGCTGCAGGGAAGGCTGGGCAGGGAGCAGTCTCCGAGCACCTTCCTGATTGCTCTCCCCAGCCACCAGTGCTCTGAGGGCTGGCTTTACCTTCTGAATTTCCTCCGCATTGAGGTTAGAAACGTTGAGGATCTGTTGAGCTTCCTGGAGGCTGATGCCGGTGATTCTGGAGGCAGCAGCAGACTGGGGCCTCTCCGAGCGCCCCCGCGCGTCTGCTGCGGCTCGGCTCGCTGCCCAGAGACACTGAGCTGGTTAGTCCTCGACGCGTTCTGCTCCCCGGAGGGCCAGGCACGCAGCTGCCCTCCAGACCTCGGACAGGAGCAAGGCAGCAAAGCCCTTGGGCTTCAAGGCGGGTCACGGCCAAAACACGCGATTTCGCCTTTCTGCCCTCCTTGCAGCGGCGTGAGCATTGCCTGACCGCAAGAGTCAGGGCCGCTGACGCTGTGCCAGACACGGGCCCCCTCCCGCCCCAACCAGGTGCGGGGAGCCGGAGGCAGGTGAGGGCCGCCCTTTGGCAGAAGCCGATCATGATGGTGCCCTCAGCATGCCGGGCTGCTGGCACGCAAAGGCAAGCGTGACAGGGTTGCAGAGAGACACAAACTGGGGCTGTGGGGTCTTGGGGAACCATCCTGCTCTATCTTTTGGGGCAGCCAGGATGTCTCAAAGCCTGGCAGAGGTGCAGGGCACGGGACTGTATCTGGGATGGCCACGGAAAGCCCAGCTCGAGCTGAAATGCACTTTGGTAAAGCCCCAGGACCCCGTGACGATCCTGGCAGGTTCCCCCTCCCCACCCAAAGCCCGGGGGGACGGGGAGCAGTGCGGTGCCTCTGGCAAGGGGAAGGGGGGGGGGA